AAATTTCCCAAAATATATAAACATATTAATATTTATCCCTCATTTTAAAATATACCGGAAGAAAATTTAACCAAACATGTATCATCTTTGTTATGAGGCAATAACTATAGTCAATAATACGCGCGACGCAGTCTCCTAGTTGCATGCCTTGAATATCTTGGAACTTGCGGGACAGTCAGTATCAGAAAATATCAGAAAAATATCAGAACATTTTAGTTATTATACTTTCACCGATTGTTGAGCTTCTCAGGCCAGTTGCACACTGAAATGGTTGAGGAAACTGCGTGAAACACAGAAGCTATTGCTGCACGGACGGTTCTTCAAGGGTTAGCTGACATACTACTACTCATTGTCACGAGAATCGCAACATATTAGGAGGAACTAAATGACAGCACATCCAACCAGGCAAGCTTGACACTCGAACGTGAATTTTGCATTTTATAATGGATCAGATCCACTGGGAAGCAGCAGAACTGGTGTCCGAATTTGTTGGGAGAACCAGGTCAAAAGTAACGGGATTACACAAGTGCCCGTGGAATAACTGGTTTTCGTTGAGGCGGATTTCATTGGTTGTTCTCCACTCGACCTTGACAAATGATTTGCACTCTTAGTGTACATTTTGACCGCTTATACGCGACAGTGATCAATAGGGCCGCTGGCTCAACGTTCACTGACATATCTGGTTCGGCCAACGCACCAGGCGATCAAGCGGCTATCCGGACTGGGGTTCACGGTAATAAGAAGACATTTAGAAACTTTTATCTAGAATATCGAGGAGTAGGACGCGATGAAGCTGTTGAGCGGTTGCTGTTGAGCACCAAATTAATACGGGCAGAAACAGCAAAGTGCGCTGCGCAAGAAGGAAACTCCCCTTGTGTTATTAACGGGAACAGCAACAAGACAATCAGATACTTTTATCCGTTGTCATCAAACCTGCAGGTGAAGCCATACACATTCTCGAGCAAAATATCTTTGCAAAATTAATGATTACCACAACTTTCAGAACTGCAAAGCACGCATATCTGGTGGCTTGAAGCCATTCCACTCACATGAAACAGTCTTGAATTCAAAGCCTAGCAGTTCCGCAATTCGTAAATTTTGGACACTTTGTACGAGCGTTAAATATTTCTCATGTATTTCTAAAGTGGTCGACATTACTTGCGGCTTCGTAAGACACTCTATTCCATCAGAAACAATCCCCACAACATGTATGGACATGCGCAGGATCGGGCTTGCACATCAGTGCCCATTGTTTCGTGGACAATGGCTAACATAACACCGTATCAGTAGTCAGTAAATGGTAAGGGAGAATGAAATCAATCACATTACTGAACCTCACTTTTGAAGGCTTGTCACACGGCCCATACAAATATTTGATGTTCAGTGAAGAACAATGCAATCATTCACAAGACTGGATGCTTCAGTCGAGCAGCCCATCAACACGTGACCACGTGATGCGATTACGTTGGCTGAAAGAAGATTAGCGGCATGAACGATGGGTCCAATATTTTATTCTGGGAGCCTAATTGGTGATTGATTTCAGACAAACGAGGGGAAGTCCCCAAGTTTTTGTCCACTGACCGAACCTGCTTGACAGGGTAGGTAGACCATGTATGGAAAAATTAGCGCTAAGTCACCGCCAGATGATGGAGGGTCTATTGTGTTGATCGGAAGGTGGATGTTCTGGCTGATTCAATCGAATATTGACGTTCTGTTGCATTCTTCAATCTAAGATCAAAGCCTATTCTCAGTTAGCACGAAGAAGACTAGTTTTCTTACTGAGTGTTCCCGATTTCTCCCTGTCAAACCCTGCGCTTGCCTGAACACACCGATTTATGTGTCTTCTTCATATTCAATTACAAGCGATCACGAACTTTTGAACCCTGAGATGTCCAACCAGCTTTGATAAAATTTTCACGCACCATTTTGTATCATTTGCGCTACCACGCGTTGTGCGCACACGTTTGTCCCTTAGGTGTTTCGGACCCGTGCCATTTCAGACACCAATAAAACGGAATTCCGCGTAAATTTAACACCGGGTTTTTATTGATGAATTTCAAGACCCCCCGCAATTCTTGTCCCGTGATTTCGCTCGTAACCCCATTGTACAACGCGGGTTCCACATTGTTCGCAAAGGGAAACGAGAACAGAGTTCATCGGATCTTTTCAGGCTCCAATCTATGTAGAATGAATCTCGCAAACATACGCAAAATAAGAGAGGTGAACCAAATGACAATCTGGACGATAGAAATTTGATGAGCTTAAAATAGAAAGATACACAGGCAGTCCAAAGGTACTACAGATTGTGTGTCTTTGACAGTTAATCTGTCGGTTTCTCATCAATTAGTCGTTTGTCATCCGGGTGATTGGTGTGCCTTTGTGCATCATTTCACCTGAGATTATCAAATCGAGGGTAGTGGTGCCCGCATCGTTCACACACGTGGTGTCCTTGCTTTCCATGCACCGTTCTTAAATGACGATCCAAATCTGATTTCCGGCAGAAAAATGCCCCACACTCCTCGCTTCCTCACCCTGTGACCATTTCAGATGCTGAGACAGAATCCTCCAAGTCGGAAAGCGCTTTCCGCATTTGGGGCATGGATTTCCTCTTAGCTCTGATTCGTGCACACGTTTACTGGATGTTTTGGTAGGCTTTTAGTCTACCGAACAATGAAGTCGCCTTACGTGTTCCTGCAAACAACGCTCATTCCGGAACGACGTTTTGCACACACTACACTGAGTATGGGGATGTTCAGCGTGCACCTCCTGGTGTCTCTTAGCTGCGGACAGGTGACTGAAGGATTTGCCGCGCACCAAACACTTTTCAGGTACCTCCGGTTGGGTTTCTCTACTCGGGTTGTCCGGCTGGTCAGCGCTGGGATTGTCGTCATCCGTTCTGTATGCTGACGGCGTCCTGTGTTCAACTGCTGGATAAAAGAACGGCGGTGAAGAAACAAAGACAGTTCCACTTCGTTTTCCTGGCTTTTAATGACTATCAAAGAAATAGGGCAAGGTCTTGTTTAAACTCACACGACATTTTCAATGCTTAAAAAGTCTCATAAATTTCAAAATGGGCCTAGGTGCTGTCAGAAAACCGACACGAACTGGGTCGCTGTTTTATCATTATTAGGACGTTTAAGCAGTGTACAATTCACGCATCTTCTGGGGGATATTAACTCACACGCCACTATTCAATCGTTCTCATCTGCCCTCGCATCGTTATCTGAAGGAAAGCGGAATATGGTTTTGCATAGAAGCTTTTGTAGACCGCTCTGGATAAAATGAAAAGCACGTAGGTGTTCATCCTCACGTGTCCTCAAGGGGAACATTCCTTAATACAAAATTCGTGCCATCAGTTCACTCACCGGTACAGGGTTTGTCGAAATTTGCTGTTAGTTGACAAGCTATGTGATACCTCTTATTTAAACGTTCCGCGACTTACGCCCATTTTCATCGCGTATCCACACCAAATGAACGCCTACTTTCCCACCCATGTCTACAGGCACGCATTGGGTCTCAGGCATGGGATTTACTCACCGTTTCCCGGTGAAGTTTTCTGCCACTTCAAGGAAGTTTCAATTGCGCAGCAACTTGGATTTTCGATGTTTGGCGTATTTCAAATGTGGACACTTCGCTTCTTCACTTGACACAAGACCACTCAGGAACATGGCTGTGAACTTCCGGTTCCACTTTTTTGATTAGAGGGTAACATTTATCTGTTGATCGTGATGATGCGCCCAGCTGGATGGGACTCGTTCAGGGACGGGAACCACTCGTTCTACGAAAAACGTCGAAAATGAATGCATCACAAGAGACCTGCGTTCAAGTGTCAAAACCGCAGTACGGCTGCACTTTCATGAGCACTGCATTCTACGAAAATTATTTACAACACGCATCCTAGCCATATATATATATATATATATCCGCATAACTCCACTCCAAAATATAATATGGAACATCTCATCAGAAGTGGATCACCGATTGTAGAATTCGCAAAACCACGAGGCGTGATAATGAAAACATGGCCATATGTACCGAGAGAGCCAAAAGATGATACAACAATGGCCCACCAAGATATCCGAGGCGTTCGACAAAGAAATTTCAAAGCAGACAAAAATTAATTTTATGCGCCTTTCAGTAAATCTGGTGATGGATTTTCATGAGGGCTTTCGGATGAAAAAGGGATGAACCGATAGTTTAGCAATAACTTGACACTTTCGCTCAGGACTTACTACAGTGCTTACAGGGGAGTTCAACTTTACGGTTGATGCTTTATAACACATCGGAAATAAACCCAGTTTAGTAGACTTTCAGAAGAACAAAAGTGACTTACACAACGGAGCGTACTCGGAAAGCAGGCTGCCCAAGTTGACAACTGAAAAAGTATGAAGTAGGTAAGCATATCAAATACAAATATATTCCTGTGTTAACGTCGTTCTTCATGCTCCGCGCGGATTCACCAACTGATCCAACTGATACTTCCATGAGTTTGCCGTTGTCACACTTTCCACTGCACAGCTAACTGATTCTTGGGTAGATGAATATTCGGCGTTTGGAGTCTACAAAATACGGGATGCTGATACGTTGATGCTCAGGTACGTCTGCTTGAATTTCATGGAAAACTCAGCAGAGTCTGCTTACCTGTCACTGAACGTTCGCGCCATCTAAAAGCCGACATGTGTATTGCTTTTAAAATGGTAGGATACTCAGAATTCCAGCCATACTCAGATGTAAAAAAGCAAGTAACAAATTAAAACAAACAAAATACTTGGATACACGTTATTCACTCGTGCTACGCAACTCAACGCATTT